AAGTAGTGCCAACACCATAGCAGGGCACAAGGGGAAGAAATCTGCATTTGCAGAGGAAACAGACACAATTAAACTGCTGGTTTCAAATCTCACTGCAAGTTTATGGTGTTGCTCTCCAGTTTGTCAGTCAGAGCATAATAAGAAAGCCAGTGCCACAAGAATGGTGATGCTGTCATTTTTCCATCAGTCCACCAACCCTCAGGTCTACTGTTCAGCTGAGTAACTGTCAGAAACAGCGCGTAATGTGGCCGAAAAGTGTTAGGTGAACTCAAATAAATGGCCAGACGAGGAAGTGTAAAACAAAACCATCTCTTTATTAAGAGAACTAACGTTGAACAAAAAAAAACCATACAAGACACGGTGAAAAACACAAAACTCACATGTCCTTAACAGTCCGAGGTCAGAGCCAGCAAACACATCCAACAGAGGTGATCCAAAATACGTAGTCCAGAGGGAAGTCCGATATCATACACTGTGGCAGTCCGAGACAAGAGGGCAAAGCAGAAACGAATATACCAAGGTAACAGTCCAGGTCAGAAACACAAGATACCAAAACCGAAGGAAAGCTGGAGAGTTAGAGCTGGGGTCTAGAACAATCTGGCAGCGTCCTGGTGGGAGGACGCTGCCTAAATAGAGGTGCAAACAATAATGAAACAGGTGAAATCAATGTGAGTGAAGAAGAACGTAAAAAGACCGAAACTAAGGTGAAACAAAAACAGGAAGTAACGTCAAAATAAAAGCAGGACAGGAAGCAGCGAAACCGAATCATGACAGTACAAGGCAACGCAGGAGGTACAAGCAGAAGCCGGATCCTGAACGGAATATGCTTTTCTGTTAAGTGTCAAGTAAATATCACATGACCAGACCTATAAACCTTCGCCCGATTGCCGGCTGGGATTGGCTCCGGTCACCCCCCCGTGACCCTGCTCAGGGAACAAACGGTAGAAAATGAATGAAAGAACGGGAGTAGCTTTTCTTGATTATGATGATGTGGGAATTTGCAGATTTGGAGTGATGTAAAGCACAGTGTCGAACTTCCATGGGAGTTCTACAGAAGCCATGGTGTCTCTGGTCTCCCACAGTGGCCTAGTGCGACACTGCTAAAGTCAACATGCACATTCAGATCCCCATTACTATCATTCCAACCTACTGTGAAGTGCTTGCCTCAAGGTGTAGTACCCAATCGCACAACTGTAACAAGCAACATATCTTATCACTGTGTGTAGGGAGAATAGCCAGTGTTAAACTTTGACGATTACATATTTCCAGTATAACAAATTAAACACTTTTGAACATAATAAGAGGAAAACACACTATCATTAGTGCTAAACTAGTGAAAATACGAATGAGCAGAACTCTCTAAGAGTGCTTTTAGGGAAGTGGTAACAACAATCTGTACGTGATGAGCCCATTCAACTCTAAAAATGAGCAGCAGCTACACAACACCTCACCCACAAAAGGTTCAGTTCACTTGAGTTCTATTTTGATTTGTCCCAATAACCTGCTTCCTGTGTGCATATACGCATTGTGCGAGATCAGTGAAGGTGGAGAACAACTGGTTAGATATATATTGAAAGTAGTTTTACATAACCATTGTTCTATTGATCTTTGAAGGGGCTAACAACAGTCACTACACACCCCACTGAAACACTAACACAAGATGTTGGTATTATGCATAGCTGGACACTGCCACTCTCCAGATAACCATGCTGACAAGGAATACTCTGTGCTGATTGACACAAGCCTAATTGATAGATTATCACAGTAAAAAGTCACTTGGATTAGTCGCCACACTTCATTTGTCATTTCTGGTAATCAAGGATGGTGATGGTAGCTGACACAACTGACACAAGGTTGATTATAATAGTGCAGCTAGCCTGTAAAACATGCATTTCTACATACAGGTCTCTTCTCAGTGCTGACCACAGACCAGAAAGATATCTGAATACATTACCAGGCATTCAGAAAGGGTACAGTAGTAAAACAATATCTGGACATGCTAGATACAGCTTTGTAAACAAATGTGCAAAATGAACAGTCACTGTTTTAAGCTAGTCCTCAGTTTAAAATTTTTATCCAAACCAGTTACCGACTTGTTTTTGCTGAAGTAATTTTCTAGTCAATGAATGAAGCTATTGTTCTAACAACAATTTATCAATAACACATTTATTACACAATGATATTAGCATGTGTTTCAATTTGCCACTTGCCAATGCATCTCCTGATTAAAGTAACTCATTAAAATATAAAACATTTTTGTATTACAGATAGCACTGTAGTCTTTTTGATTCTTTTTACAAAACTTAAACCTCTTTAGGCCTGGTTCTACCTTCTAAAACCATGAACCCACATCCTGATCACAACCCAGAGCACAAGCCTCTGTTTAGATAGTTTAACAATCCCGTGGACAAAGAGCTGCTGTGTGCATTTCACTGAAGCCATGGGTTCGACCAAATATGCCAACACTGTCAAGAGAAACAAACAATGCAACGTTTTCTCCCTTTTTCCTGTGTGAAGTAGAGGAATAACACCACTGTCTTAAACGAAAGAGGAAGAGCCCAGGACTGTTACAGGGCACAAATCTTAGAGCAGGAATTTCCTCAGTCAAGATGAGAAGACATTTCTTACAGTTTTTGCAAACTATCATAGACAGAACTTCAGTACAGAGTAAGATTACAATGGCAATGACACACAGCTAGAGGTGTAATCAAGTTTCATGTTGGTCTAAAAAAAGACATCACCAATGGGATACTTTATTGAGAAAGCCAACAAGTTCCGTCGATACCAAGCAATCATGACACCATTTAGATTTCTATACTCCAACACACTTTAGGTATACAGTATAATAAATAAAAATACAAACATCAGTCCTACAAAAGTGCTGAAAAGACACACAGATACTTCCAGTGAACCAGTGCCCTATCATTCCTAAATCTCTACACCCTTTAAAAGAGCATAATAGAATGACTGAAAGGAGGAGGAGAGGGGATGCTGAGTGTTGAGGAAAACAACATTCTCCATTACAAAATAAAGTGCCACATTCACAAAGAGGAAAAATGCTTTTGGAGAGGGAGCTGGAGCTAATTCAGCTACTCCTTAGGAAGAGTGATTGTTAACAGAGCCACTGGATTAAATGCATAACCCAACCGCAACATAATGGCAACAAAGCATCTTCTAAATGAAAAGGAATATATAAAAGTCCTTGTAAAACAAAAGCAATGCAAAAGAGGTTTGCAGAACGCCAAGTTTCTCAAACAAAAGCATTGTAAATGTAAATGTTTGTCTGCTTTAGGCCTTTTTCTGTATGTATGTGCACACTCTCATGAACCAGCCAGACATGGACACAACCAATTTAGCCCGATTAACAACAGATGTGTTCATCTATTTTAGTTCAACAAGCATTCTCTGCAATAACACGATTAGTTGTCTCCTCATTTGTGATATCGTTTTTCAACCATACTGTACATTTTCCCCATTATGTCTCCAGTGCCTTTCGGTAGCTCTTCCAGAACTTTGGCGTAGCCAGCAATGGTCGGCGTGCTGCTAACCAATAGGCTCATTGCAGAACTTACATCAACAGAAACTAGAGCGCACTGGAGAAATACAATATATGAAGTTCTTGAGCAATGCCAATGCAAATGGTTATACAATAGAGAGTCAAAGAGGCTGTGTTGTTGCTTTGAGTTTTGACTGTGTGATGTGCACAGTTAGGGTTTGGCTTGTGAAGAGCCATATTTCATGGGGCTCAAAGGGTCGGGAGCTGGTACCACATTGATACGCTTCTTGTACTCTTTCCTAAAACTGAGACAATGGTATGGCTCGAAACAGGAATTATGCAACTACTTTTTCTTTTGGAGTAGGAACGTCAGTGGTTGTCATTGTCAAATTTATTATCATTGCCAAATGACTATTAGAGATCACAGACTGAAAAAGCGTTCATCACCTTTGCTTTGCAGCATCCAAGCTTTAATTCATTTCCAGTATTCAACTGTCAATGATCCGCTAGGTTTGCTACACACACGCCAAACACCAGATCAGTCATTTAAGATATTTCTTTCTCCCCAGCAATGACCACGTCACTTACACAACATTCATACCCTCAAGGGTTCACCCTTATATTACCCCCTCAAGGTTACAAACACCAAATTCTATACTGTACAATAATGTCACATAGGGGTGTGTATTCTGCTGTTGGTTTATTGCAGTACATCACTGAATTTGTATATTGCTCAAACCAAAGTGATGTGCTCAAACCTTAAATGCTGTTTTTATGGCTGCAACACCAAATGTGTAATCTTGTGCAGCATTTTTGACATGTACCTTTACTTCAGCATGCTATTTTTGGTATTTTGGGGAAGCTTTGGGATCTGACCTCCACAAAAAATAACATTCTAATATCATATCAAGTAGGAAAATTGGGCAACTGCCCCAAGGTCCTAGAGGCCCTAGAAACTCTGGGTTTATTGGACTGATATTTGGTATTCTGAATGACAGCAAATTTGTTAGAGGCCACCACTAAAGTACAATATCAATCAAGATGGGTCCTGTATTACTACCAATTTTTTGACGCCTCTTTTTGCATTAGAATCTGATGTGAACTTCTTGATACTGGTGTATTTTTTGCTAACATGGTAGCATATTACTAAATAGAGTTACGTTTAATTAAATTATCACACTCTAAATAACAGATACATTGATGAATAGGTTTCTACAGCCATGTCCAGAAGTTTGGACAAAGTTCTGCTACATAACATACATTTGTCATAATGTACTGAAAGTCCTGCAGGGTAGAAGAACTTAATGCTAGATCAAAGAATTAAATCAAAACTAACTTAAGAATTTATATAAACCTAAATTCAACCATAGTCCTGAGTAAAAAAAAAGGTCAGAAATTAAATATATTCACTGAAGAAGTGCATAGTGGTAAAACTCCCATCATAAAAAATATCCTCATGCCAACAACTAAGGCTCAAAAGGTTCCCACAAGGGCCCAGACTGACCTACTCGCAGCTCCTGACCGAAGACTGTCCTTTCTCCCAGCGCCGAACAGTTCCAGCGTCCATATCGGAACTGGTACTGACACTCGTTGATGCCCATCTGGGCGCCTTCACCCACAACAATGATGGCGTCCGGGCGGCTCTGGCAGATGGCCCGCTGGCGAGGTGCCAGACCAGGAATCTTGTTGCAGATGATGTTGGCACCCAGAGCCACCACCGAGGACAGGGCCCTGCCAAAGTGAGAAAAACACACCACCACACACGCCCATGAGTGTTCATGCACACACATCAACAGTCAAACAGACATATGCACACAGGACAACATACATACATACATACATACATACATGCATGCATGGTTGCAAACACACACACACACACACAAACAGAAACTCAGTTAGAACTTCCAGAGGATGGTCAAACTGAGTCACTTATGTGAGACTCTCCAGATTAGGATTCAGTTCAGCTAATGATTAATGCATGTTCTACAGTGAAAACAAAGCTGAGCTGCATGAAAACATTGCTATTTGACATATTGCAGGTAAATCAAAAACCTGAAAATGTAACTGGGGGGCTGTTCTTAAACAAATACACTTGTTCCATGTCTTGTGCTGTAGATGGAGGGTTCATTCAGCCAAATGTCACACAAAATATTATTCCTTATGGTTTGTGTAATTATATGTTTGAAACTTGTTCAGGGTGTAAAGTGCTGCCCATAAATTTTACTGGGCTGTTTTTACTTAAGACATGTTTCCATGGAAAATACATAAGGTTTTCAACACTGGTCATCTTAATTTGTAGGGTAAAGTAAAAGACACACCTTCTCAGTTCTCCTCAGGAAGACTTCATCACATCTGATCTCTTGATGTGATAATACCAAAACATATGTTAAAAATGGTTTTGCAACCACTGAGAAAGCTAAAACAGATTACAGCTTAACAAAGCACTGACTTTCTCATGTATGTTTATGGCCCTTAAAACCATGTAGATACATACTTTTCAAACATGTCAGGGCCAGGGAGCCATAACTGAGCATGGAGGCGAATGCTAGCTTTGAAGTATGACGTCGACCTCCAAAGGTTCACCACAAACAAGGCAAACTAATGCAGGCAAGTTGCGTGTCAGTGAAAAGCGACAGTGGTATAAAAGGAGTGAAAAGGAAGAATGGGTGGGGGTGGAAGGGACTGAGAAAGAGAAAGAGAGGCACAGAGTTCTGTGAATTCTAGTCCACAGTGATCTTGGTAGGAGACCCCTGACTAAGAACAAAGACATGATCGCTGATTAGAAATTGCTCATAAAATGGTGTTCCCTTGGCACTGATTGCATAAGTTTCTCCACAAAGACAGAAAAACAAATCTCAGTTTCAAGCAAATAAACCATAACTGCAGCAATGTGTATCTATTACAAGACTGAGCATGGCACACTTTCTTTTGGTCTTGCCAGCACAGTGAGGGTACCATACTGAGAATATACAGTAAAAGGGAAAGTGTCATTGTGCGTATACTGCTGATTTTGCAAACCTTGCACCAGAATGTATCACTTATACTACCTCAACTAAGATTTTTTTTTCAATTGGACTAAAAATGTCTATTTCCAAAAAAAAAACACCATGACCCTAATTCATGTTGCTCTGTGTTTTAGTATATGGTCAACTGAAGGCAGTAACTTCAAAATATAAAAGAGCTAAAAATGAGAACATTACTGATATTTCAGTAAATGACTCTAATGCATTTTATTGCCCCTGGTTTTATATGATAACAGAAGTTCTAATCACCCTTAACATTTATTATGCAATAAAGTGAATTTCTCCAGGTGCACATTTCTTGTCTTAATGAGCCTGACCTTATGGTTTATGCAGACTAGATGTCATCGTTGCCATGAACAACCACATCTACAGCAGAGGGTCACAGCAGTTCAAGCTTGTTTAAGAGCAGATAGAGCAAAGAAGGTTTGAAAGCAGCAGCAGGCCTGAGTATTTGCTGTGGATGCTGAGAACACCTGATGAATTTCTTTTGTTCTTTAAAAACTGATACAACATGACTGATATTTTCAAGTTTAACAAACTGAACTCATAATAACCTTCCCTCTTTCTCATGTCATTCACCTGCTAATTCACAAAATCACTGTCTAGTATGGGCAATCCAAACCATCAGACAACACCAAACAGAGAATTCCAGAGCTAAGCTTTTAAATCCCTGCATCATCAAAGTGCACAAACCGATTCTGTTTGCTTAGCGTGTACCCTGTGTGTATACGGCAACACCTTGGGGACAGCTCACCCACGATCACACAGATATACTGTCATATACACTGTCGACAGAAATTTAAACACGACTAAAATGTCACTAAATTGGTCTGTTTACAGTAGATGCTGCAGTTGCACAAACACTTTATGCCAAACACAAGGTGTGATTTAATAACAGCATCATTCAATTCAGGTTTAGATGTGACACAGATGTGTTTTTCTGGTACTTGCTAAACAACAGGTGTTATGATTTATAATTTTTTTACCATATTTGAACACTGCACAATACTATGTACCATACATATACCTAAATTAAAAGTATTGTGAATCTATAAGTAAACTGTTCCTGTGTATTTTGCAGTAAATGCATTCAAGGTGTTGTAGGTTTTTAGATCACACATTCGGCTTCACTTCTATACTCAGAGATGCCATTTTTAAATTCTTAAAAAGATGAGGTTATGTTTGGCAAGTTGTGGCTTTATGTCTATAAAATGTATGATATGAATAAAACTCATCCAGCATTAAATCCCATACTAGCACAGGTTTCTGAAATGTGAGCTAACAATAAATCATTTGGAAAAACGTATATGTGAACCATGTGTCAGTGGTGAGGAATTTACAAATATTTAGTGGCAGGGTAGTGTGGCCTAAAAGACTACGTCATGACATACACTGGGCTCAGAACCGCCTACTCCATCACATGGAATGCTTTGAACCTATCTTAGACACTGTGAAGCCCCCAGGCGTGCATCTTCTACCGAGCAATGCACTCACGAAAATGCCTGACACACAGCTTAACTAAGTCAACAGAATAAGTGCTCTTCTTTTTCCAAGAGTAAGAAAAAAACTGTTAATGGAATCTGATTTTCCTTTTATACTGCTCATTTACAAATATGACGGTTTAAAATCAGCAGTGCAGTGAACAAAATCCTATTTGCATCTGTTTAAACCTTATCCACAGTTGCACACTGGTCAGGACAGTGTGATAATACTGTAACAAAACAGTAAAAATGTTCAGATTATTGTCATTGGAACATTTAGTGTGAAATTCCTCAATATTGTAGTGTGAGGTGTGAAATGGCCCAAAAAGCTCTTCATGGATTGTTGCTGATGGATCATTTGCCACACAGCTCTACATATTTTAGAGTCTGACATGCCAAAACTCTAGTTTCATGAGGTGGTATTGCATTATGGTATATTTAAATGCTCTCCTGAAAACATATTTTGTGGTCAGTGCTCAACAGAAAACATACTTAAATAATCAAAACAAACAATGGTATGTAGCTTTCATGTGTAAGCCATCACTTAGCAGTGTAGCCCACTTTTAGCTGAAAACCAAAAACCACATCTATTTCAGCGTCAGGTTTGGGGTCTCTGGGCAGCAGAGGAAGGAGCAAGGGAGCATGGTTGAATAATTATTTTGGAAGCTTTATGAAAGCCAGTATTCTTCTTCAAGAGTAATTCTCCTTTAATTCAAAGCCACAGGGCTTTAGAGTGTCAATCACGTGCACGTTGCAGGAAGATATTTTAAAATGTGGGTTCAAATGATAACATCAAAATGTTGAGATTTAACCAGAGATGAGGTAATGCACAGAGATAATCCCTCTCACGCTCTGACAGGTTAACGGTGCTGGCATATGTAAAAACTATCCATACACAGGGAAGAAGGCAGAATCTCAGCATCCGATTCTCTTGAACATCTCTGCCACTCTGTGGCCAAAATGAATCCGCGTAGCAGTTACAAACATGTTTTGCGTTCTGATATTGCAAAATATTTGCAACAGTACACATACAAACCACAGCTTTCTCACAAGACATCCTCATCCGCCTGCATAAGGCACATTAGCGCATTCGGGTTTTCACCTAATTCGTTTATTCCCACGTGGATCGTTCTCCCAGCGTTATTCCTACTGGTGAATGTTCTGCATGGGATTTCACACTTGTATAACATTAGTGTGTGAAAACTATCCTTAAATTAAATTAAATTAAACGTTTTGCCTAAAACGCATATTTGTTACGCCTGATCTGCGCCGTTACTTTTGGCAGCAGTCTAAACAACTTCAACTCCATCTCCAATCTGTGTTTAAGGAAAACTAAAGGCATTCGCCTCAGAACCGGCGTCTGATGATCAAGATAAAGGACATGAAGCCCGTTGTCCGGCCAGAAGGCTGCAGAGGAGCTAAAGCAAACCTGTGTGTTTCTGAGGATGAGCGCGCGCACTCTGAAGTAAATTAAGGAGCCGTTAATTGGCTCAAACTTACAGGTAGCTGCCACTCGTCAGGATGAGGAAGATCTGTGGATAGTAGACTGACAGCAGTACACTGCGCGACGAGAAGATGATCATGATGACATTGAGCAAATGGCCACGTTCGGACTGACTGGTACGACGCAGGAGGATGAAAAAAAAAACTTCCTTAATTCCCGGTTTAAGTCCCTTTCGCACAAATCAGAAGAAGGTGCTGTGCGTGTCCGTGTCTTTTGTGTGGTGGCTCTACGCAGCTTCAAGCTCCCAGGGCCATGTGTGCGCTGAGATTGGCTCTGTCATCTCTCAGCAGCGGAGGCTGTTACACAGTACTGTGGTTCCCGAGCCGGAATGATGATGGTTTTAGGGATTTTGCATGGCAGAAAAGTGCCTCTCTCCACTCTCATGAGAGTCGTGCCTGCCATTGGGCAGAAAGAGACACTATCCGCCCACTTTGCCCCAACGGGACAATAGGGTGACACTGATCCAATCCCCGTTGGGCGTGCAGGAGGTTTCATTCATCACCACCCCACACACATTCTTCCCCACCACCCCGCCAACCAAAAATAAACATAGACGCTGGATGCATGAGCTTCACGCCATCATCACGGCTCTGTGTGCACAAAACCAGTACATTTCATATGCAGGATCGTTCTGAATCAACAAGTTGGTGTCACACTAACTCACAAGTCTTAATAACAGAGAAGGTTCTTACTGCTCGGTATTGGTGTCAATGTGCGAGTGAGCATAAAGCATCTTTATGTAAAGAATTGTCCTTACCATCTGTGATATTCTATGTCCTATGGTAGCAGGAGGTCCTATATCATTCCCTTGGAGACATAACGTACACTTGTTTACTCTAATATGAGTTTTTCAGTGACCTTACTGTCACGTGGCAGCACTAGGCGTCTATAATATTCATCTAATTTCCCATTGCTTAACGCCATGGAAACCGAAATGCACAAAAAGCACGTTTACTGCCCAGGACTAGATCTGATAAGAGAAATAAAATACTTGTGGAGATTTTGTCTCAGAGCTTATTGAGTGGGGGGCTGTTATCGCCTCAGCATCGCGACTCTCACTCAACACCTGCAGGCTCCAGTACATGAAGAGGGTGCCATGAAAGATGTAGCCAGAGTAAAAGGATGGCAGGAGTGAGCTATGTGCTCGGGCTTAGTAAAGAAGGAGATATGTGATTTCCCTCTATATTGGCGCTACTGTCATATGATACGGGCATCTGTGCAAATTTAAGTTATACGCTTCATTCCACATAAGGTTTTAATAAAGAAGAATGACACTTTTTTTTGTTTGGTTCATGGCGATGTCTCCGAAAATACAATAAAATCAATACACAAGCCTTAAAGTTGTATGGACATAATCATTTTATTTTACTAAGAAAAATTAGGTGGATCACATGTGATAGTGTACAGTAGGTCTGTATTTGGTTACAGCTTTTTAAAGTAGTTGCAGATAAAACAAAGTTGACAACTATTGATGCATATTTTGTTATAGTGTCAGAAAATAACGTGCTGATTTGATGGGACTGTCCTCCACTGCATTATCATTTGCCATGCATTTATTTTTGCATACTTAGATGAAATTATATGGTTTGAAGTTATAATTTCAGTTTCAGGGGATCTCTGTAAAAAATAAAAATGTTTTAATGTTACTATTCGGAGAAAAAAAAAACATAAGTAAGAATGTCCCATGCGTGCAGACGTGAAAAATGCACCTAACAAAAACTCCTATAGAGTTTGTGATTGATACAATGATTCTAAAGTGCCTATAGGGTCCTACAATTATGTTTGAGGGGGACTGTTATAGGGCAGCACAGAAGGAACGGATACAAGTACTAAGGTGTTTATGCATCAAGGTGAGGTATTGCAAAACAGGTAAAAACTCCGTCTGGGCAAAGGAATGTGGAAATACAACTCAGTCCGCCGCTATTAATGAAGGTATGCAGGGGTGAGCTGGATCTGAAGTAGAGACTGCGGCTCAAACCATCTTTTGCAAAGAGGCAGGAGTCTCACGAAGTGACCCTAATAGCTCTCTCACAGCAAATACGAATCTATCGTATTTCTTGTTGGTACGCGACCTGATCTGCAACTTTTACGCACAATAGATTCCTCGGTATATGTCTCTATTAAAACCGTTTTAGGTACACCTGTAAAACACCTTTTATACATCGTTCTTTAGTCTGAGGTCAGAGGGCAACCGATGCTTCCCTGTAAAAATCTGGAATGTAAGTGTCGCAATAAATTTGATATTCAAGTTGCGCATGTGAACAAAACAGTCTAGGCATGAATCATATAAAGAGAAACTCACCCAAGTCTGAGGTATATGATGCCAAAACACAGGAACACGTAGAGACTCCGCTTTCGGGGGGGTTTGTGCATGATCGTTACCACTTTATCCAGATGCCATGCACTGTAACACAAAGTGGTCACGCGTTCCGTTCACATTGGCAGGTTTCCTAACCCTTCCAGATGCACGTATATCGCCTATTTTCCACGACCTCAAGCCGAAGCGCCTCTGAACTCTTGGGCTCCATGGTCCAGCAATGCAGGTGAGATGCTGATGACAACCTGTAAGGTGACTAGGAACTCCAAAATGAAACTTGAGAGAGTATCGGATTTGAAAGGTGAATGAGTTCTTGGAGGAAGTGCCTCCTATTCGTCCTTATTTTGACGGTAGAGCCTAATTAACATTTCCCATTTGCTGCGACTTGCATATAAAAAAAGAAAAGGAAAACTATTTGCATTTGCTGCGAGTTCTGTGCCAACTTGTGGAATTTCACTTGCTGTTTCTACTCTTTGAAGACATTTTAAACCCCGTCCATGTTAGTAACTTAAAACAGCCAGGT